AGTTAAAATAAAAACAGTTGATGATCCAGTGAAAGCTCATTATTATAACTTGGCTTTTAAAGATTAAAGAAAGAACAGAAAAGCACTGCTGACTCTAATTGTACTGGCACTACGTTTTCAACACACAAAGATATCCAGAAAACGATTCATGTCTCAACACGCTGTGACTATTAATCAATCAAAATAAAAACGAGGGAGGTTTTCTGGAGTACCTCGTGGATTTAAACGATGACAGAAAAAAAATAATGAAAAGCTGACAGTTGCATTGATGAATCCCTTGTTTTAGGAGTTTGTCTTTTTCACAGAAATGTAAGAATATAATTCTGCATAGCTGCCAAATTGATTGGGATAAGCCAAAAATCAATTCACCACTATTAAAAGAGCGCTGTACAGTACATGCCTAAGGTTCATTCTACAATAGAAAGAAATCATTGACAATATACTGTAGAATCATGCAAATTGTCATTTAAAATGATGTAAACCGTTTTAAGAAATAAATTGCAATTCGAAACAAGATATACATTTCCTGACATTTATTCTGAATATAAAAGTATTATTTTTTAGTTGGATGTCACAGATTTCTTTTGAACTATGAACTATTTGCAAATGGCTTCTGCTTTAGAAGAATGCAGTGTAGAAGCAGTTTTTAAAAAGTCTGTCCCGCTGTACAAGAAACTAGAAAAGGTATAGTATTTTTTGTTCCTTTTATTATAGTACTGAGTGAAGAAAACCTGCACGAGGATTATATTTTACCTATACTGAATATAAATTGCATATATTAACCTCAAGCAGCAAACCTATCAGCTACTATGTGTTTATCAAATCATCTTTGACTAAACCTTTTTAAACCAGTGAAATACAGAATGATTTAAAAATTAAACTTTTTCACATAGTTATAATCCTTTCATTTAGATACAATGTGTGCAAATTTGTCTAAAAACACTATTTAAAATGTGTTTTAAAACTACTTAATAATAGAGCATTTCAGTAGTTAACAATAGGCTGTCCAATAAGTTCTAACATGATCAAAGAGTTTATGGAGACTAATTCTACAGTAAATGTGTAAATTAAATGTGTCAGATCAAATGGAATAAACTCCCTTTGACTTGGTGCTCACTAGTGCACAGGTTAGTCTGCAAAAAGTCATTCAGGAATCCCCACAAGTAAAATCACATGGATTTACATAAAAGTGACAAGCATAGTCAAGATAATCTTTTGCCATTGGAATACAAATTTTGAAGTTCCCTAGTACAGTATTAAAAGATTCTCACATGCTCTGTGCAAATTTCCTTGTACAATCACAACAGGATTCCCACTTTTTTATCACAGTGAGCTTCTTTATTCACAATTTATGAATGGTTTTCTTCCGTGTAAAATTGCTGACATCCATTCCCATCTCTCCTAACGTGATGCGGAAATGCTACTGCGAGGTTTTTACTTCTCCAGGCTGGATATTTGCAGTGCACCGCTTGCCAGTGTCCTTGTCCGTACATGTTTCTTCACAAGCCGAAGCATGTTCAGCCCCCAGCTGCTCAGATCTTTTAATACTAAAATGCATTAGCATATCTACAGGACCTGTTTTAGCTTCCTTTGTGTCTCAATCTGAGAATTTTAGAATGAAACTCAAAATACTACTTCTCACCTTTAAGGGCTCAAATAGGTTGGCTCCTGACAACATCGCTGAACTCCTGAATTCCTTTCACACCGACACATCCTTTGCACTCTTCAGACTCTAGTCTGGTTTTACACATTCCCATGCAAGGATCCAAACACATGCTTTCTGTACTTTAATTCACTTTTATTCCACAATGTAGACATTATGCATTAGTCAAAGGTTATTTCTGTCATCTCTCTGGATAAGCAAGTGTATGCCGACATCTAGCATCCTCTAGGGTGAAATGTGACACTATTGTTTGTGGTAAATCACTCATCAGGCCACAGATTTTGAACTGATGAATGACAAAACTCTTGCTATACCCAGTATATATTTAAGGTGTCTGCATGCACCGCACGTTAAAAAATGTGAACACTTTGTTTGAAACCTGAATGTAATCACACAAATAACCTGTTTGACTGTATCTGCACACATACTGTAGCTGCTTGAGAAAGATATAAACATTTAAATAAATACTGGTTTTCCCACTAACACCATTGACATATAGTAGACATAAAAAGTCCATGGATGGAATACAGTGAATTCTGGAAGTTATCATCAATAAATAGAAGAGGTAAGAAATGTTTCTCAAAAAATGAAATAAAGAAATAAATATACACCTCATTGTTCACTTCAAGTTTATTTCTGAGTAAAAAAATAAGACAAACCAAAAGACTAAAAAACCCTTATACACCTTAAACCTAGTGAACATCAGCAACATTTCAATCTATTGTTCTGATACAAAATAAAATAATTTATTAAAACCAAATGAAATGCTTTGAAAACCTTTAGTTTTTTTTTTTTAGTTTTTTTTTTCTTTAGTTAGAAACTAAAGAAAATCTTAATTAGTTGAAGTTATCTATTTAAATGTACTTAAAGCTATAATATAAAATCAATTTTCTACATCTTTTTAAACAAGCAATTTTCAAACACTCGTAAAATCATTTTAAATACTGCAGTATCTTAGAACCTTTTACCTACGTGAATAGTTTTTTAAAATGTCTAACAAGTCCTTAGTCCGGTAAATTCTAAAAGTCAAACATGAAACGAGTTTCCTCTGAACAGATTTTAGATAAAGCAATTTAAGGGTATTTCTTTCCGTTTTCCTTTGACTAAGGTATTTTTCTACTTGTCTGTTCTAGCCACTTTGATGCTCTTTAAAGGCAAGGCACATTTATTTCTGTAGCACATTTCCGTACACACGGGTAATTCAAAGTACTCTACACAAATAGAAAAACATAAAAAAACAGAAAATAAAATAAAAAATAATTAAAAGAATATCACAAAAGAAATAATTAAAAACACAATAAAACTAAGAAAAAGGAGAGGAAAATAAAACAGTTTTTAACTTAGCTTAACAAATGTTAAGGTTGGGGCACATCTAAGATCCTCCGGGTGTTGGTTTCAGCTGTGAGCAGCGTAACGGCTAAACGCCATTTCACCATGTTCAGTTTCAACTCTGGGCACCACTAGCTGACTAGTCCCTAAAGATCTAAGAGACCTACCAGGTTTATATTCCTCAAACAGATCGGAAATATATTTTGGGCCTAAGCCACTGAGTGATTTATACACAAGGAGCAATATTTTGAAGTCAATTCTATAACTATTTCGAAGCCAGTGTAAGGATCTAAGAGTTGGAATAATATGTTCAGTTTGCTTGGTCCTTGTTAGAATTCTAGCAGCAGTAATTTGAATGAGTTGCAACTGTCTAATGATCTTTTTGGGAAGGCCAATCAAAAGAGCATTACAATAGTCCACTCTACTGGAGATTAAAGCATGAATGAGTTTCTCAAAGTCCTGCTTAGACATAAAATCTCTCATTTTAGCTGTATTTTTAAGATGATAACAGGCCGATTTAGTTATTACTGTAATATGGCCACTGAAACTAAGATCTTCATCCATTAATACACCAAGATTTCTGACCTGGGTCTTAGTCTTTAGAACCCTAGAGTCAAGGTAAGCACTAAGTCTAAGCCTTTGTTCCCAAAGAGAATTATCTCAGACTTGTCTTTGTTCAAATGGAGATAATTTAATTGCATTCAGTTATTTATTTTCTCTAGGCATTGACAGAGTAATTCTATAGGACCATAGTCATTAGGTGAAAGAGCTAAAAAGAGCCGAGTGTCATCTGCATACATATGATAAGCAACCTTACTAACTTGTAAAAATTGACCTAGTATAAGCATGTAAAGATTGAATATGAAAGGGCCAAGAATTGAACCTTGGGGAACTCCGCACGTCATGGTGGTCCGTTTAGATTTATAATTGCCAATAGTGACATAATAACCCCTACCTTCTAAATACCTCCTGAACCACCTGAGAACCGCTCCAAACAGTCCAACCCAACTTTTCAATCTATGCAGAAGTACTTTATGGTCGACAGTATTAAAAGCCGCGCTAGGATCCAGTAAGGCCAGGACTGATATTTAACCTGAATCAGTATTCAGGCGAATATCATTTAGTACCTTTATAAGAGCAGTCTCAGTGCTGTGATGTAGTCGAAAGCCGAAAGCCAGATTGAAAGTTATCAAACTAGTCATTCATATTTAAAAAGTTGGTAACTTGATTGAAAACAACTTTCTTAATAATCTTGCCTATGAAGGGAAGATTTGAAATGGGTTTATAATAAAGAATAGAAGGATCCAGATTTCTCCTTTTCAGGAAGGGCTTAACAACTGCAGTTTTCAATGATGTTGGGAAAAATGCCTGATAAAAGTGAACCATTCACTATTGGTAATAAGTCCATTGATAAACAACTAAAAACATTTTTTAAAAAGCTGGTGGGCAGAACATCAAGACAACAATTAGACAGTTTAAGGTGCTGCACTAATTCCTCAAGGATTTTAAATTCAGACACGATAACCACATTTTTTCTATGTGGTGATACATCCATCAGATTGTCATTGTTTGACAAGGTGGTACTAATGACTAATCTAATATTTTGGATTTTATTACAGAAAAAAAGATTCAAATTCATTACACTTAACTCAGGGTTAACTGAGTCGGGGAATTAGCGTATAAACAATGGTAAATAAAACATGGGGACTGTTGATGTCGCCATGAATGATATTCAGATTGTCTAGCCTTGCATA